ACAGCAGCTTATCAAGTTGAAGGTATCAGATTTTCATGTGTCATAGGGGAGGAGGAGGGTGTTCAATAGTTTTAAAGCAAAGATAGGACCAGAGTCATGAAATTTGGATCCAGAAGTGTCCAAAACGGAGAGTACAGATGGTGGGGATGGGATTCTATTTACCATTTTGGTCTATTGCAGGTATAGTTTTTAATTCTTGTACAGCAGCTTATCAAGTTGAAGGTATCAGATTTTCATGTGTCATAGGGGAGGAGGAGGGTGTTCAATAGTTTTAAAGCAAAGATAGGACCAGAGTCATGAAATTTGGATCCAGAAGTGTCCAAAACGGAGAGTACAGATGGTGGGGATGGGATTCTATTTACCATTTTGGTCTATTGCAGGTATAGTTTTTAATTCTTGTGCAGCTCCACAGGATTTTTCTCACTTACCTGCCCATTGCTCCGAACAGTTGGGATGGGGAAACCTATCCCCATACCTCAGAAACAAAAGCAGATGGCAGGTGGGGAAGATTGGTGTGTGTCCCTCTTTGCAATGATCAAGGTGGGAAAAGGAAGCAGGAGCAGGTTACAGTCCCACTAAGTCTTCACTCCCTCCTTTTCCTTGGGGTAGACATGAGCAAATTATTTAGTTTGCTAGGGCTTCCTTGTTAGAGTTACTAAGGGTATGTCTATGGGGGCATGGAAATTAGACATACCAACATAGTCAATGAAGCAGGGATTTAAATATCCCCTGCTTCATTAGAATAAAAATGGCCATCGGGTTGTGCCAGCTCATCTGTTTGTTGGCACAAAGTGGCAGTCAAGATGGGGATCGGTTGCCAAGGAAATGAGGTTTACAGGATCGGTCGATGAAGGCTTTCCTTGGTGACCAATCCCCGTCTTGACAAACAGCTGAGCTGGCACAACGCTGTGGCCATTTTTATTCTAATGAAGCGGGGGATATTTAAATCCCTGCTTCATTGACTATGTTGGCATATCTAATTTACATGCCTCTGTCGGCAGAGGCATGTAGTCTAGACACACCCTAAGTGTCCAATTTTTTCAACTGGAATGTCCAATTTAAAAGGGTCCTTGGCAGCGCCACTTAGCCACACTGACTGGTAGAGTTGCCAACTCTGACTGAAGCTATTTTGAGGGACTTTTTTTTCCTACATGATGTGATGTCATTTTCTCAAAACATCCCATTAAAATCTGCAGGACTGCTTTCAGTAGTCACCAAGAGATAGATGCTGATTCCAGGAGACTCCTTGACAACTCCAGGAGGGTTGGCAACCCTACTGATCAGGCAGGTTGGTGGTGGGGTGTGTGTGTGTGTGTGTGAGGAGGAGCTGGCAGCAGCTCCCTCTGTGGAGCTCAGGGATGGTGAGAGCCATGGCAGACAGGGAGAGGATCCCAGCTGAGAGGCTTGGAAAGACCAGTATGCCATATTGTATTGTAGACTATGTTTAGGTCAAAGAAAACAGGGCTTGTCTTCAAGTTATGTTGAAATGCATTTTCTGTATATGTAGCAAGGTCTAGAACTTGGCCACATGTGACTCTTTTGAAGGCCAGCTTTATTGATGCTAAGAGTTGTCTCCACCTCCAGAGACATACACTAAAGGATAAGCTGCTCCAGGACTTTAAGGATGACAGACAGAAAGACTGGTTGGTAGCTTGCCTCATTGTGTGGGTCCTTTTCAAGTTTGAGAAGGGTGATCACTTTTGACACCCTCCAGATCCAGGCAAGCTGTCCATGACCCTACCCTGACAATAAGCAACTTACACATTATCTGTAATTTTTGATGGACATTCCTGGAGCTTTTATTAAAAATATATATTTATTACACATGTATATGTGAAATAATTGAACTGGATTCTATTGGAAATACCCTAGCCCCGCAAAATGGAGGCGGCCCACCACAGGGGTTAACTCACCCTTCAAAGCCCAGGAACTGTGCAGCTTCTACCTGACAAGACAACGTGACTGACTCAAGAGATTTTGTGGAGCTCTAATTCAGTTGCTGCACATACCACAAGTTGCACAGTGAATGAGGCAAGGTCTCAGGGTGTACTTTATTTTTCACTGTCAGCTATGTATTTATGCACAGTTTAGCCTACTTCACTCAATATATTTCAAAGTGCTAAAAAAATCATACCAATTGTACTCTGCATGCTCAAAGTGCAGCTTTCAAAGGTGCATGACTCAGTCAAATCAAAATCAATTTTCACCAGAACACTCAAAGGCACTTCTCCTTACTGAGGGCCATTTCTATGCTAAATTTCAACTCTGTACTAGAGCTCTTAAAAAAATGAGAGAGAGAAAAGTTGCAAGAATTTTTAGTAATGGTAAAAACATATTTTCTTCACTCAGTCTATGAGTGAGCTGAGCTATCGTAAGCAAATATTTATCTTTTAGGGAACCCAACTCTGGAAAACTTGGCCCAATAGGTGAAGATTTTGGAAAGGTACAATTGAGTGAAAAGAGTTAGTTTGGAAAGCACATAAAATCTTAAAAATATAAG